AAATAAATCGCAATTATTATTATTATTATTTCATAGTTAATGATATTTATATAAATAATATTATTTATACATATTAATTAATATTCTATATATATATATATTATATATATATATATATATTTTATCTTATCAAATGTTTTCTTGTTTTTGTCTAATAAGGTAATAATTATTAAAAAATCAATCAAAAATTTGTAAAATGAGATAGTAATTATCAAAATTATATGCATGTATTTTCAAGAATATTCAATCAATCACAAAAATATTTAATAGGAAAAAAACTAATGTAACATATTAATAGACCGCAATTGTAGAAATAAGAAAAGTTAAAATTCATTTTACACAGCCAAGAGGGAATATTTATATATAATTGTTATAAGATACACTTCCTCAAGGACTACACCATCAACTAGGTTCCTCAAGAAGAAGTTTTGTGATTGGTGTTGAAATCATTCTTGCATCTTTGTCAATTTTTTTATTTTACATTAATAAGTACAACATATTAATAAAAGTGTTACTATGTACTGTATATATATAATTGTCCAAAACTCATTCACAAGTAATTGTCATCTTTTTTGGCCACTAGAGGATACTCTAAATGGACATCAGCTCAGATGAAGAGTCAAGACCAATAGTGCATAAATGGTTTCAAGATCAACCACAAAACTTCTTTCGAGGAAGCCAGGCATTAATGCTACGTTGGAACAATTGTATTAAATGTAATGAAGATTACATATAAAGACATACATTTGCTTTTAAAAAACAATCTTCATTCATCAATTTTGAATTATATCATAATATATAATGGAATTTTATATAAATAAAGTATTTTCTGATTAATTTATTTTTGTATAATAAATAATCAAAGAGTATAATATTCTTTGATAAATATATTATAAAAATTATGTGATCCATTAAAACAAATAAAATTGTTTTATTTAGATACATATTTTTATTTAATGTTGTTCCATTGTTGAATATATATGATTAGATTACATATATAATATTATTCTATTTAAATATGGAAGTTCCTCTTTTAACAATAAATTATTTAATTATTGCTTTATATATGCAATGTTATGCATATGTAAAGCAACATATCAATTTGTTTATATTTAATTTTTATTTTTATAGAATTTTTATTATTTTTATTGTTTCTCTTATTTCATAGACGAATAAGGTAGCAGGAGGACCACCGGTAACTACTGCACCACCGCCCCCAACGTTGATTAATAAAATTAAATATCAACCTGGAGGTCCTATAATAAAGAAAGATAAACGACAAAGTAGCTCAAGATTTAACATATCGAAAAATCGCGAACTTCAAAAGTTGCCGCTCCTATCTGGTAAGTCGTTATATTTTGAAAATTTCATAAAAAATTACATAATTAGAATAATGTAAATAAATAATAATGCACTGGCTAGAATTGGCATAGTTAGAATTGGTTGTTAAATATAAAGGAAAAATAATTTAGTCTGAATTGTAAAAATATTATTTATTTATTTTATCTTTTTTTATAATAATTAACAATTTTCATCATAGAAACAGTTTTATCTGTAATAAATTCATCATTCACACACACAAAATTCACAAATTTATCAAAATTTATTACTTCTATATTTTAAAGCGAACCATAGCTTTCTTCTCAATGATTGTCGTATAAAATATCGTATGATTTATTAATATAACAAATTACAAAAAACGGAAACAAGTAATAAATTGTAATGCACTTAATGAATGAACCGAAATATAGCTAATAATATTTATATTATATTATATAATTACTTTATATAATTTAAAATACAATGCATTTAATCATTTTGAATAATTTTTATTTCATTTTCAATATCCAAAGATACATTTTAGATGTATCTTAAAGTGAAAAAAATAAAAAATAAGAAAAGTTTAATAAAAAAAAAATCGGTATATTATTAATGTTTATGAAAGTTATAATAGCTAATGTTGTCATTATCATTAAAAATTTCATAAAAAATAGTAGCAAGATTTAAGATTGAAATAGATTTTAGAATTTTTCGTGAGATAAATTTTGATTTTAATTTATCGTCAAATATATTGTTTATTTACATTTTAATAATTTGTTTATTTACATTTTAAGTGATAATTAGAATTGTGAAATATTTAAAAAAATATATTTTATAAAAAAAAAAATAAAATAATTAAATATAGTATTGAATAATATAAATAATTAAAAATTTTTTTCTGCTATCGATCAAATTAAGATTTTCATTAGAATAACAGAAATCTGTAAAAAAATTGGTCTATAAGTAATAATACATAAGTGATTGATATATCGAAAATCTACAAAGATTACACTTAGTTATTACATCTTAAATGTTGATTTAAATGATCTTAAACTTATTTTAATTATTTTAATAATTAATTATAATTAATAATTAATATTCCATAACATTAAATTTAATTCGTTCATAAAAATAATATCATTGTAGTATATCGCTTTATTTTTTATGGAAATTTTAATTTTTTTTTTTTTTACATTATTTTATTAAATATTATATTTTTTTTATCAATTAGTTATTTTAAAAATCACTCTGTTTTTAAATTTATATATTGAATTGATATTATATATTTATCACATACATAATTCTAAAAGAGAATTAATTAATTACTTTTGTTTTTTTAATCCCGGTCACATAGGATTGCGAAAGCAGCTACGTCAGAACGTATCGATTGTAAGGCGCGGTGGTTCACGCATGCGCACGTGAAGCATTTGCGATTCCTACTTTTTTAACGTAAACAGTCCTTTCTCGTTCAAACGGCCTTTAGTATCAACGATATATTTTCTTTACCCGAATTTGTAACTTGTTTCTTTTGATTTTTTTTTATATCTACTTAAAATCAAATAATTGAGTAACGAAACGTTCGGAAATCTTTGTGCATTTATATCATCATACAGATATATGCCCGGTTCTTACTCGAAAGAACGGTCAGTTACGTCGAAGCAACAGATTGTTATGTGAACAAGGAAACCGGTGCGTATAGGAATGTAATTTACCGTGAACGGACCGGAAAAAGAAGATAAATTCCGGTGATAGATATTAAAAACGTAGATTGTTGAATAATAAAATGGTTCATGTGGATGGATATATTCCTTTTTCAACTGGTGGCCTACCGAAAAGTCCAAGCTTCCACCAGGGACTTGCCTTGGCTACTGCTCTATCTCGAGAATCGAATAAACCTTACTTAACCAACTTCACTTCGCATTATCAACCATTACGACCCCTATTAATCGGTAATGAAACCTCTGAAGTTTGCTTCTTGTTTCGATTCTCGTAATTGTCAAATAGATGAATGAATATGTATTTAGGGAAGAATAAAAAGAATATGCATAGATATTTATTGAGAACAATAGAAAAACATAGGTTGTATGAAATGAGCTTAGATTTGAGAGAAAGAGAGAGAGAGAGAGAGAAAGAGAGAAAGAACGCGCGCGCACAAGAGAGAAAGAGAGAAAGATGTAAACAGTTCATTAAAGATTATTAATAAAAAAAGAAAATGAATAAAAAACTTAACAAGACAGGCATGATTATGATGATTGAAAATAAATAAAAAATACAATAGAAAGGATTTATAAAAGTATTGAAAAAAAATGTACAAGAAAAAGAAATGTAGAAAAGAGTATAAGTGGAAATTCAAGAAAAAATGGAAATCTTTGCAAGAATGTGAGAGGAAAAGGAATGCTATGAGAGAAAGTTTACGGTAGTAAAAGTATAAGAGAAATAAATGTATGATAAAAAAAAAAAAAATATACGATAGAGAATAATTACGAATTGTGTGCATGTGTGTATTTGTGTGCATTTAATGTGTGCATGGTTTATTTATTAAAAAAGAAGAAGAAATAAGGGGGAAATAGAAATATGATAGAAAGAAAAAATCCAAGAGAAAGAGTTCATAATACTATTTGAGCATATATATATATCTATATATATGTATATACATGTAATAGAATGTGCGTACGTGTGTGTATATTTACCCGTAAAGAAAACATGAAATTCATATGAATATATTTTGTATTTGCAATCATTGATGCAAAATATTTCAAGAAATATTTTAGGAAACGAATTTTTTGTTTATAGAAATCTGAAAGATTAAATTTCTTAGATATTTTTTAATTTTTTTTTATTTTAGAAACGCAACAAGGAAACGAAAGGGAAGAACTTTTCATCCAGAAATTACGTCAATGTTGCGTGCTGTTCGATTTCGAGTCCGATCCCCTTTCGGATTTAAAATGGAAAGAGGTAAAGCGTACCGCTCTAAACGAAATGGTCGAATATGTCACCAAGAACAAAAATGTGATCACGGAAGCGATATATCCTGAGGCAGTGAATATGGTAAGTAAACTGTTTAACGCGTTAGTGATAGAAATTCGATAATTAATAAAACAATTCATGATTGAGATTGCAGATACAATGGATATATTATAAAAATATGATTATTTTTCTAATTCGAAATTTTTCAGTTCGCAGTGAATCTTTTTCGCACTCTTCCTCCATCATCAAATCCAAACGGAGCTGAATTTGATCCGGAAGAAGATGAGCCAACATTAGAAGCGGCCTGGCCTCATTTACAGCTAGTTTATGAATTTTTCTTACGATTGCTTGAATCTCAGGATTTTCAACCTTCTATCGCTAGACGTTACATAGATCAAAAGTTTGTATTGCAACTTTTAGAGTTATTCGATTCGGAAGATCCACGAGAAAGAGATTTTTTAAAAACAACGCTTCATAGAATTTATGGAAAATTTTTGGGGCTCAGAGCGTATATTAGAAAGCAAATAAATAATGTTTTTTATCGATTTATATACGAAACCGAGCATCATAATGGTATTGCTGAACTTCTTGAGATTTTGGGAAGGTAACTTTGAACTGTTCATTATACAATATTTATTTCATTATATTTTATCATAACAAATAAATTCATTGTTCTTTTTTTTTTTTTAGTATAATCAATGGATTTGCATTACCATTAAAAGAGGAACATAAAGTATTTTTATTGAAGGTGCTTTTACCTTTACATAAAGCTAAATCGCTCTCTGTATATCATCCCCAATTGGCGTATTGCGTGGTTCAATTTTTGGAGAAAGATCCGTCGTTAACTGAACCTGTTATTAGAAGTCTGTTGAAATTTTGGCCAAAAACACATTCTCCGAAGGAAGTAATGTTTTTAAATGAACTCGAAGAAATTCTTGACGTGATCGAACCTGCGGAATTCCAAAAAGTTATGGATCCGTTGTTTAGACAATTAGCGAAATGTGTATCATCTCCGCACTTTCAGGTATGCAATATTTTTTTTCACGTTGATGGTAGATTATGTAGATTTAAAATTTTTTATATATTTTGTTTTTTTTTTTCAGGTCGCTGAAAGAGCTTTGTATTACTGGAACAACGAATACATAATGTCACTTATATCGGATAATTATTCAGTCATTCTACCAATTATGTATCCAGCATTCTATAGAAATTCCCGAAATCATTGGAACAAAACTATTCATGGTTTAATCTATAATGCATTAAAGCTTTTTATGGAGATGAATCAGAAAGTATTCGACGAGTGTACTCAACAGTATTATCAGGTATGCTTTTTATTATTATAAAACAGGATAAAAAAATAATAATCATTGAAAATATTTGTAGGATCGACAAAGAGAAAGAAAACTTATGAAAGACAGAGATGAAGCGTGGATGCGCGTTGAAGCTTTGGCAATGCGACATCCAAATTACAATGCGACTATAAAAGGTATTACGAATACAACAATTGGTACAATATCGCAACAACAATTAGACAGTCCTCCGCCCGATGAAGATGGTGATACAGATCAGACACCACTTACATTGGAAAAAATAGAAGCGAAAGCAAACGAGGTATGACAAATCGATCTTTCTCTCGTGTTTATTAACAAGTCTAAAATAAATTTTCTTTTGTCATAGGCAAAAAAAATGACAAACTCTAATAAAACAAAGCCACTTTTACGAAGGAAAAGCGATTTACCCCAAGACACGTATACAATGCGGGCATTATCTGATCATAAACGTGCAGACGAATATCTCGTTACGCCACCGGATCCTAATAATTGCTAGTCTCTACCGCAATCTCTTCCCATGTATCCTCTCTTTTGCTGCAGTGATTTTGGGAGTTAGCTTTTTCGAAGAGAGAACTAAAACAGCGATGAGTCGAATCTAATCAAGCGATCATCACATTCGACGATAACCGCCTGAAACAGAGTTTGATCATATAGAGAAGTCAACAATGTCGTAATCCAATCTTCCCTACCCTTCGTCTTGTATCAATATTATCGAGATATATATTCTAATATTTTTCTTCGTATCTCGATAAATGAAAAAAAAAAAAAAAAAAAAAGCTTTCTCTCACTGCACCCAGCACATTCGGAAGATGTATCCATGTCCGTAGTAATCTATAAAAAGAAAAGAATGCTGATAACTTCTTATATACTCTTTGAGTTAATTTACATAAGATATCGCGAGAATTATGAAAATATTACATACTCGCTATCAAAGAAATTAAAATCATGAGATGTAAAAGAAACCTAGAGAATAAGGGTCCTAAGTGTGTACATATATATATATATATATACAATATATATATATATACACACGCGCGTGCGCGCGCCCATACAGACATACACATACAGATATTTTATAAATTGTAGATTTCTTGAATATGAAGAAATCTATCGCTGACAATAAGACAATTTTTTCATATTCATAAATACGCCTTTACATTTTCAAATTATTCTATTATTCCATGTATAAAAGATATTTATTGTTTAGAATACATAGAATACAATCTTGAATTTAAGTTTCAGACAATTTATCTTTAAAGATCCAAAGATTCAATTCAATAAAAGAGGTTGTCTTGCTTTTGGCAATTGATTTTCTTCATATTATAGAAATTTATGATTTATCGAACACCATTTGCATAGGATATATTGCCATGAGTGAATAAAAATTTATTATTTGATTTTGGGAATAATTTTGGCATTTTATTTAGAAGAATTAAAATTAATTACTTATTTATATTTTATATTATTATTTATATTTTTATATTATATTTTTTTTAAATGAAAAAAAGTAACTTCTTGTATTTATATAAAATATATGAAAGAAGTTATTTTTTTCAAAGTTTTCTAATTAAAACAAATATATTTATTCAAAAATATATATATTATTTAAGCAATATATATCATGTTACAATTATGGCAAAAATTAAGAATTTTTTTACGTTACTTAATAAATTTTGAGAGTATTTTTAGCATAATATTTTTTTTCAAGCTTTTTTTTATTCAAAATCTCTCTCCGGATGATAAATTATTGTTCACTCACAATATATATCCTGTACTTTAAATAAACAAAAAAATTTTATACGAATTCGAAAGAAGTCAAAAAAGAATGGCCGCGTGCTTGATGTTGTAATAATAATAACAATAAAAAAAGAAAACAAATTTTAGTATGAAGTTTGAGGCGTTTACTCTTCTGAGCGAGATTTCCACTGATGCGCAAACGACAGATATCTAATAATACACAAGTGATATAT